GGTGGGAGGTGAGGGTGGGCATGGGAGGGAGGGGGGGCCAGAGGGGGTATGGGCGTGGGCATGTTCTGGGCTTGAGCGTGGCGGGCCCGGGGGTTGAGGAGGCGGCGGTGAGCGCCACACACAAGCACTCTGCGGCCAGGTCTGTTGCCCACCAAGTGTGGAATGGACGAAGGAGGCACAAAGCCTTGAGGTGTTTGGGCTCAAGCCCTTGCATGGCCCGCCGGCGGCTCTGCCTTTCGCCAGCCGCAAGTTGCCTCCCTGGAGCCAGCCGGACGTCCCAGCGCCCCTGGTCATGTCACCCCCACCGCCCCCCCCCCCTCGGCCTCACTTGATCTTGACGTGCACCAGCCAGTCGCGTATCGTGTCCAGCTTCTTGGTGGGAATGGCGTCAATGCGCAGCACGTCCCGGCTGAAGTCCTGGAGGCAGGAGGGGAGGGAAGGGGAGGGGCAGCGGCGCGTGCTCAACTTTGGGTGCGGGCTACATCACCAAGTGCGCCGGGTGCACATGCCACGGGGGTGGTTCAGGCAAGGGCTGCGCGCCACGCGGCAGCCCGACACTTCATGGAGGGCGCGGCCCTCAGACGCTCCTGACAGACACGACGCCCCCAGACGACATGACTGAGAACCACTCAACCTACATTGCCCAGCAAAAACACAGGCGCACACAGACACACTCACAGGCACACATACAGGCACGCCACGCTTACACACCCTTGCCCCCACACCCTTGCACCCATGCAAAAGTACCGTGCCCCCCACCTTGAACACGATGGCCATGTCGAAGTTCTTGAGGTTGAACCCCACGCGCTCCAGGTTGACCACCTCAATGTCCTCCAGGGACACCACCTGGGGTGAAGGGAGGGGGGGTGAGGGGAGGAGTTTTTGGGGAGCGGGGCTTATGAGGGGTGGGTCGTGAGGTACGTATGTCTACAAACAGAAAAAAATGCGTGCACACACACACTCTTTCTCTCTCTCTCTCTCTCTCCCGCCTCTCTCTCTCGCGCACGCTCACGCACAACCGTACATACAGCCAGCAATCCCCCCAGCCCCCCACCGTGAAGGGCATCTCCGTGAGCTCCACCACGCAGTTGACAGTCGGCATAACCGTCACGGTGCTGCGGTGGGGGACACCCTCGAATGACAGCTCCCTTTGGGGGGGGGGGGGGATGGGGAGGGGCGGAGCATGGGCGGTCTGTGAGGTGTGGTCGTGGGTGGGGCAAAAAGTGAACAGCAGCGTCCGGGCGCAACAAGCAGGTGGCAGCGCTCAAAGCACGCAGGCGTGAGGGAGACGCGGGTCGCAACATGGGAGCTCGGCAGGGACTGGGATGGCGCGAGGCGCGCGGCTTTGGGCGCAGGGCGAGGGCCTCAGAAAGGGGGCCACAGCGCCCACCCTTGCTGCTGCTGCTGCTGGCGCGGCGGCGGCGGCGGTCGCGGCTGCTGTCCGCACCTGAACGGCACGTCAAACTCCAGGTTGAGGTCCGGCATGTCGCGCTCCCACATCTCCTGCTCAACGAGGTGTTGCACAGGGGGGACGCGCGGGGGTTGTTCATCAGAACAAGGTGCAAAACGGGAGCGGAGGGGCGCCCTGCCCACGAAGCGCTACTGTTCGGCTGCCCAGCGCGACCCGCTGCGTGCCCCCCATACACACACACACACACACAGCCTGCAGGGCTGCACAGCAAGAGAACACCTGCCCAACCACCGGCCCTCCTGGTCAACATGTCAAATCTAGATTTTCCTCTCACCTGCACGCGCCTCACGAACTGCTGGAAGTCGGCGTTGATCTTGTTGCGCCTCTCCCTCTCCCGCTGCTCCTCCTCCAGCTCGTCGGGGTCGTGCATCGCGCGCCGCGACCCGTCCAGCGTCTGGACCACGTCCATCACCTGTCCAAGGAAGCGGCAGAGTGGTGACGTCACCGGGCATCATCGTGATTTAGGGCCGCAGGGGCGGAGGGGTGTTGGGCTCTCGAGTTGGAAACCAACATGGCGTTGTGCATCAAACAAAGGTTGGTCAAGGACGGCGGATGCAGGTAATAGTGTGACTGTTGTTCGAGCTGGGGGGACCCGTTAGGTGCCCCCAACAAAGGCCTTCTCGCAAAGCTTTTCTCCGCCCCCCACCCCTGCCCCCACCTCCGCGTAGAACTGCACGTCCTTTGTCTTCTTGTTGCCCATCATGATGGGATCGATCAGGTGGAAGTGCAGGATCGTCACCATCTCGTTGTCCGCGGGCTGCAGGGAGTGGGAAGGTGGCCGGAAGGTGGCGGGAGGGTGGCGGAAAGGTGGCGGGAAAGTGCCAGGAAGGGAGAGAGGCAATCAAGTTGGAAGGGCCCAAGATAGCAGGACAACAAGCGCCGGGTGTGTGCGACGGGCAAGCATGCACTCGCCAACTCACAAGCTCCGCACGCAGTCCCCCCCATCATCTCCAGGGGCCGCCCCTCTTCCCTCGTTACCTGGAAGAACGCGTGCCGTATGTTGCGGTACATCACGTCAATGCCCTCCCCCTTGGGGTTCATGTACCTTGGGGGGTGTGGGGGTGTGTGTGGGAGGGGGTGACAAACAGGGAGGGAACAACCTGTGTGGTCAACGAACTACAGATGTCGGTGAGGGCGCCTCTTGGTCATTGGGGCGGGAGCAGGGCGTGCGCAAGAGAGGCGACCTGCAAAGGGGCCGCCCGCGGCGACAAATCGCGGCCGGGGCGCAGGCAACTGGGCGCCCCTGCGGCCCCAAGGGCGCCGCGCGCTGCGCCCCTTGCGCTGGTCCATAAGCTCCCCCACCTGAACCCGTTGGCGTGCGCCTCCAGCGCCCCCGGGATCTTGCGGCCGCGGCCGCCCAGGGTGGGGCGCACCCACAGGTCTGGCAGCCGGTACACGCGCTGTGCACACGAGAGGTGTGCGGAGGGCATGGAGGGATGGAGGCGGTGTGAGGGGCAGGCAGGGCCGCAGGGTTCCAGGGAAGCACGGGTTGAAGGGTGCTCGGCATCGGGTGGGCTGGCTGACGCCGCCCGCACACCTCGCGCGCCGCGAGAGCCATCTATATTAGCTCCTCTACGCCAGAGAGTCTCTGAGGCTCCTGCCGCCCGTGTCCAGCAACCCCGCCTCCCCCGCCCAAAGCACCAACACCCCTAGACCCCTCCCTCCCGCACCCCATGTCCTCAAAGGCCGTGGCCGCACCTTGCCGCGCACGAGCTTCTCCTGCACCACCAGCGTGGCCCTCTCCGCGCGCTCCTTGTCGCGCGACAGCACAGTGGACCGCAGCAGCTTGATCTCCTGAACCACCTGCAGGGGGTGACGTCACGTGACGTTACGAGGCATGCTTGATGATGTCAGCTGGTGGCAGCACCACTCGGGCTTTTTCTCTGGCAGGAACAAGATGGGGCGGCGCGGCACGCTTTGTTGGCGCCGCCGCCGGTGCGTCCCCCGGGGCAAATAGCGCAAGGGGTGGTTGGTGGTTGGTGGTAGGTGTGTGTGTGTGGGGTGGGGGGCCTGCCTTTGTTGCGTGCTTGATGTCTGACGTCCTGAAGGTGAGGTCCTTCAGGAACACCAGCTGGGGGTACTTCTGGGCCGGCTCGTACGCACCACTGGGGGGG